TCCCAGTCAGAGTCTGAAATGTCCCAGTTTGTGTCTGAAATGTCCCAGTCTGAGTCTGAAATGTCCCAGTCAGATCATGAAATGTCCCAGTCAGATCATGAAATGTCCCACTCTAAATCTGATATGTCCCACTCTGAGTCTGTAGTGTTCCAGTATGTAGTGTCCCAGTATGCAGTGTCCCAGTATGTAGTATCCCAGTATGTATAGTCCCAGTATGTATTGTCCCAGTATGCAGTGTCCCAGTATAGTGCAGTTGAATCTGAAATGTTTTATTCTGTGATGAATCATAAAAAGTAAATTTTCTCTATTTCTCTTTAAGTTCAATTTTTTTTTTTTTTTTTTTTTTTTAAGCAAAAAAAAAAAATTTTTTTTTTTTTTTTTTAAGTTCAATTTTTTTTTTTTTTTTTTTTGTACAGGAAAGTGTAAAATACTTCACTGAGTATTTTTACAGATTGTACAATACTTTATTTTTATGGTATTTATACTTTGTTTACAGGTGCTCACAGGTACACAAAATGCATTTGTGCCTACAAAAAGTGCTGTTTAGAGTACACTTACAATGTAATTACTCAGTAATTGCAAGGTAATTACTGGGTAGTTATTGGGTAATTAAGGCATAATTACTGGGTATGTACAAAGAGTAATTACAAATTGATCACAGAGTAATTATGGGATGGATAATAACTGAATGATTAAGGGATCATTACTGCAAGTTCAGGGTAATTACTGTGTAATTACAGACAAATTCTTTATTTCTTAGCCGTGCCAGCAGATATGTTTTGTTTTTGTGGGACAACAAACAACAAACAAACAAACTTTTGACATAAACAATGAAGCTGCAGAGCATAAGCAAAGCCTCGTGACATTTTATGGAACATTTGAGGCTGTTGTTGAAATGATCAATTGATCAAATCATGTTCGTTTCGATGAAGAAGCTCCAACTCTTGAATAAAATAAAATAAAAGTACGAAGAGTTCCAGCTCTGGATGAAGTGAAGGTTCAGAGCTGAAGTGAAGCAGAAACTCCTGAGCGACGTGATGAGAGGTTCTGGGGGGGTGGGGGGGGGGGGTATAAAGGCTGGAGCTCTTCAGCTCTCGACTCCAGAGGAGAGACGCGCGCGCAGCGAATGGAAGGCGCTCTCCTTCCGGCCGTGGACGTGCGTGGACCCTGACACCCCCGACATGTCCGCAGGGCTCCGGAGACTCTGCGCCGGACTTTGACCTGCTGAGGCTGGGGGGAGGAAGATGGGGAAGAGGAGGGCGGAGGCTTCCTGCTGGACATGGACGCGCTGTGCTTCTGCAGAGGAGGAGACGCGCGCGCGGCGGACCCGGGTCTCCTGTGAGCTCCATGAGGCGGGAGTCTGACGGGGGCAGGTGGACGGATGGAGGGACCGAGTCCCCCCCCCGGCGGTGACCCGCTCAACGTCTCCAGCAGTGAGACTCGGACCAACGTGACCTCCGGGGCGCAGGAGCCGGACTCCGGTCCGGGCATCCAGGTGGTCCTGGCCCTGACTCTGGCCCTCATCACCCTGGCCACCACCCTGTCCAACGCCTTCGTCATCGCCACCATCTACCAGTCCCGGAAGCTGCGCACGCCGGCCAACTTCCTGATCGGCTCCCTGGCGCTCACGGACCTGCTGGTGTCGGTTCTGGTGATGCCGATCAGCGCGCTCTACACCGTGTGCCAGACCTGGACCCTGGGCCAGGTGCTCTGCGACATCTGGCTCAGCTCGGACATCACGTGCTGCACCGCCTCCATCCTCCACCTGTGCGTCATCGCGCTGGACCGGTACTGGGCCATCACGGACGCGGTGGAGTACTCCAAGAAGCGCACGCCGGCGCGCGCGGCGGGGATGGTGGCCACGGCCTGGGTGATCGCCATCTCCATCTCCCTGCCGCCCTTTTTCTGGCGCCAGGTGAAGGCGGAGGAGGTGACGAGCTGCAACGTGAACACGGACCACATCTTCTACACCATCTACTCCACCTTCGGAGCCTTCTACATCCCCACGCTGCTGCTGCTCGCGCTCTACGGAAGGATCTACATGGAGGCGCGCAAGCGCATCCTGAAGCAGGCGCGGAACAAGTCCGGGAAGAGACTCACCTCCGCGCGCCTCATCACCGACTCCCCCGGCTCCGTGGCCTCCACCACCTCCCTCAACTACGGCACCAACGACGCGTCCTCGTGCGGTGACGCCACCTCCTCCTCCGCGTGCCCCAACGCCGGCCACGTGAAGGTGACGGTGTCGGATGCGCTGCTGGAGAAGAAGCGCATCTCCGCGGCGCGCGAGAGGAGGGCCACGAGGACTCTGGGCATCATCCTGGGGGCCTACATCGTGTGCTGGCTGCCCTTCTTCATCTACACGCTGCTGGTGCCCGTGTGCGCCTCGTGCTTCCATCCGGGGCTCTTCGACATGTTCACGTGGCTCGGCTACCTGAACTCCCTGATCAACCCCATCATCTACACCATGAGCAACGAGGACTTCAAGAAGGCCTTCCACAAACTGCTGCTCAGGGCCAGGTGCAGCGGGCCCTGAGGGCCACCGCCTCCTGTCAATATCTTACCTGCTGCAGGTGCTGAGGGCCCCCCCACCTTCTGTTAATATCTTACCTGCTGCAGGTGCTGAGGGCCCCCCACCTCCTGTCAATATCTTACCTGCTGCAGGTGCTG